ACGCCCCCCTGCCTCTGCCTCCCGAGTGCTGGGATTAAAGGCGTGCGCCACCAATGCCCTGTTCGAATCCATTCTCTTTAGAAAAAAAAAGTAATTTCTGTTACTTATCTCTTTAAAAACAATGGCATTCTTCACAAAGTAACTCGGGGACAGACAGTGATATATCAGGTCTTAGTGCTTAGTCAGATTTGAAAGTTGTATCTTGAGCCTTTAGTCCTACTGTTACGTGGCTGCAAAGATCTGGTAGCTGGACCTAGGCAGTCAGTCTGTCCTCTTTAGATGTGCTGGCCCCAGCCAGATGCATAATGCCTCTGAGCTCTGGGCCTCCTTCAGGGTCTCTGGTTCTATGCTGATTGGTGACTGTTCCCTTCTGAGGCCTGCACTTCATTAGCAAGGACACAGCCTTCGCTTTGAAGCTGTAGGCTATGCATGCTCTATCCAAAATGCTTGGGACCCGAGGTATTTTGTATTTACTAGGTTCAGTTCACATTCAAAAGAAAGGGAGTTAGGCTTCACCTATTGAGAGAGCTAACTGAGGAATTATAGATATTTAACAAAACATTCAGAAGAGTCCACTGAAGGATTTTTCTGCTGAGAAAATGTCCTAAATGAGTGGCAGCATTTCTGAGTGGGGCTTTGGGCTCTCAAGGTGTGCATCAGCTTTGAGCCATAGGCACCTAGGCCTTCCTTCGCCTTTCTGTGTGATGTGACTGTTTGGCCTCTGGAGAGGATCAGACACTATCATTTTTGTATGTTAGCCTAGAGTTTTTACCTTCGGTTAACACTGAAGGCCATCTGTGGAGATAGAGGAACGTTTTAAAATCCAGCTGTGGATTGTAGGCTAGTAGTCCTTTGCTCTGTCTAATATTCATATATGAGTGAGTACATACATTGCTTGTCTTTCCATGATTGGGTTAGCTCACTCAGGATGTTTTCTTCCAGTTCTATCCATTTGCCTGCGAATTTCAAGATTTCATTGTTTTTTTTTTTTTTTTCCCACTGAGTAATACTCCATTGTGTAAATGTACCACATTTTTCTCTATCCTTTCTTCAGTTGAGAGGCATCAAGGTTGCTTCCAGGTTCTGGTTATTACAAACAACACTGCTATGAACATAGTTGAACATACGTCCTTGTGGTATGAATGTGCATTCTTTGAGTATATGCCCAAGAGAGGAATTACTGGATCTTGAGGTAGACTGATTCCCATTTTCCTGAGAAACTGCCATACTGATTTCAAAAGTGGCTGTCCAAGTTTGCACTTCCACCAGCAATGGAAGAGTGTTCCTCTTTCTCCACATCCTCTCCAGCATAGACTGTCATTGGTGTTTTTAATTTTAGCCATTCTGGCCGGTGTAAGATGGTATCTCAGAGTTGTTTTGAGTTGCATTTCCCTGATGGTTAAGGATGCTGAACACTTTCTTATGTGTGTTTCAGCCATTTTAGATTGTTCTATTGAGAATTCTCTATTTAGTTCTGCACCCCATTTTTTAATTGCATTGTTTAGTATTTAGTGGCTAGCTTCTTGAGTTCATTGTATGTTTTGGTGAGCAGTCCTCTGTCAGATGTGGGGTTGGTGAAGATCTTTTCCCATTATTAGGGTTGCCGTTTTGTCTTGTTATTGTGTCCTTTGCCTTACAGAAGCTTCTCAGTTTCAGGAGGTCCCATTTAGTAGAGAAACTAGGAAATAAGGAGGACCCTAAGAGAAGAATGCATGGTCCCCCGAAGAAGGGGAGGGGGACAAGAACCCCTGAGCAAATTGGGAGTATGGGGGGGAAGAGGAGGGAGGCGTGGGAAGGGGAGAGGGGGAGGGGGAAGGAGAACAGGGGGACTGAGAGGGGAGGAATAGAGGAGGGCAAGAAAGGAGATGCCTTGATAGAGGGAGACAGTACAGGTTTGGAGAGAGGTCTGGCACAGGGGAAATGTTAGGGGATTCACAGGGATGACCCCAACTAAGAATCTAGGCAGTGGTGGAGAGGCTGCCTGTGATGCCCTTCCCCTCTAATGAGATTGATGTCTACCGTGGTTACCATTCCTAAAGCCTTCATCCAGTAGCTGATTGAAGCAGAAACAGGCACCCACAGCTAAACACTGAGCCATACTCCTGGAACCCAGTTTCGGAGAGGGAGTAGGGATGAGCAAAGGAGCCAAGACGGTGCTGCAGAAACCCAAATAAACAATTGACTTGACCTAGTGAGAGCATGGAGACCCTAGTCGTAAAGCTGGGAAACCAGCATTGGACTGAACCAAGCCCTCTGAATGTGGGTGCCAGCTAGGAGGCCAGGGCAGTCTATGGGACCTCTAACAGTGGAGCCAGTCTTTATCCCTAGAGCACAAGTGAATTTTGGGAGCCCATTCCCTATGGAGGGATACAGGAAGCCCAGATACAGGAAGGAGGGCCTGGGCCCTCCCCCAATGACGCGACAGACTTTGATGGTCCCCCATGGAGGGCTGCGCTATCCCTGGGGAGTGGGTGGGGGGGGTGTTGATGGGTCGGTGGGGAGCATGGGAGAATGGGAGGGCGAGGGAATGGAGGATTGATATGTAAAACAAGAGTGCTTCTAAAATTTAAAAAAAAAAAAAAAATCCAGCTGTGAGTGCTCCAGAGAAGGAAACTGCAAGGAAGTGCCACAAGGTGGTGATAGTTCATACATCTTGTCAGCGAGGAAAATTGCATCACATTTGAAAGGGTTTTAGCAATTCTGGACCCTTTTCTCAGATATGAAAAGAAGCCCCCTAAATTCTTCGGTGGTGAGTTCTACATATGTGCGGCAGCTCTTCATATATACTCGGGGAGTAAGGACCGCCTTAGGAAGATCATTCAGCCCAGTGGTTCTTGTCATTTCTGTCAGTAACACTGTCCATGTCAGTCTTATAATCTCAGATAATTATAAGACACATTTAATTCATTTGATGCTGTGGTGTTCACCACCTAGGCCAGAGGATGATCTCATCCATGCACATGGTGCTATGTTATTGTTGAGTACCTGGCATACTGTCTTGCATATTGTAGTCTTATATACATCAGTTTGTTAAACTTAACAACACAGTTTTGAAAGTTGACCTTGTATAGTTCATTTTCCAGAAATGGTTCAATGATAGAGACATCTCAATTTTTAAAATTTTACTGTGTGTGTGTGTGTGTGTGTGTGTGGTGTCCTTGGCAGTCTTGGAACTTGCTTTGTAGATGAGGCTGGCCTTGAATTTAGAGATCTGCTTACCTCTGCCTTTTGAGTTCTGGTATTAAAGGCATGTGCCACCATACCTGGGTCCACCTTATTTATTTATGTGTTTTTGAAACTATGAGTGCTCAGCTGTGATGGGCTGTCACTCTTCCTCCATGACAAATTTATTTCTTAAAGTCCCACACAAAGAAAGAGAACTTTGTGCACTTGGGCAGGGCTGGCAGGCACACCACAGTGTCTAAAGTGACTACTGAGTTGGGCAGGGCTGGACAGGCACATCACAGTGTGTCTTAAGTGACTACTGAGTTGAATGAGGATCACCAACACAGTGAATGCTCTTGGTACCCTCCCTGGTCACATTCTTTTATGGGCTGGCACCTCAGCCACTCATGTCTGTGACTGTGCAAGTCAGGAGTGATAGTGGGGAAACTGCTGTCTTCAATAGAGCTGGGGATACTGACACGTGAAAACACCAAGTGACTGGTTGGGCTCCTTGAGTGTGATGGGAGCAAGGCCCACCTCATTGTGCACCCTTCCTTTTCCTGATCCCCAGTACTCTTGGTTTAATGAAACCCTCACATGGCACATTCCATCTGCTCACTCCCAACCCACCAGTGCAAAAATTGAGAAAGGTCTCTGCTGGTGCAGCCATCCCTTAGAGGGTCCCTAAGGGGCCTCAAAGGAGGGGCCTAGCATTATTACCTCTTCCCCTAGGCCCCAAGGGCCAGGACAGTGTCTTAAGGGCTCAGATTGAGCAAGGTGAGACCCTGTGTAAGTATATATTTGTGTAAGAGACAAATACTTTCATTAGCCCACCAAAACTCATTTATAATGGATGGACAATGAACCCTGACTCTGGTGTTTCTACCACTGGGAGCTGTAGTCTGTTTCTAACCCTTGGGTAAAGAATGCAGCAGAAACACATTGTCCTAGAGTCCCAGGGTTCAAGAAACCATGTCACTTCTACTCTCTGTAGGAACTGGGAGGCTACTCATAAGAATAAACCTGAGTTAATCTGCTAGAAAGGTAGATAATAAGCCCCTCCAGCCTACACTTATAATTGCCACATGAGTTAAGCTATCCTAGCCCAACCAAACCCAGCTGACTTAACAGCTGACTGACATCTACAAGTGAGTCCAGGTAAGCCAGGCAGAATGCTCAGATGAGTCTAGCCCAAATTCTCAAGTCCCTAGCTCTTGAGTGGCTCAGTCTGGAGCTTATTTGTAACTTGACAAACCTTAACAGATTCACAGTTTCTCCTCACTCCTGATTGTGGATCCTGTTTCAGTTTGCTTCCTATCATGTGAGACACCTTCTTGGGGAGGAAAGGTTTATTTGGCATTTATTTTGCCATCATAATCCATTATTTAGGGAAGACAAGGCAGGAGCTACAGCAGATGTCATGGAGGGGTGCTGTTTACTGGCTTGATCTCCATAGCTTGCTCAGCCTGTTTTCTTATTCAACCCAGGACCGCTTGTCCAGGGGTGACACTGCCTATAGACCCAGACCCTCCCATATCAACCATTAGTCAGTGAAATGCCCCACAGGCCCATTTGATGGAGGCAACCCTCAGTTGAGGCTCTCTCTTTCCCAATGACTCTAGCTTGTGTCAAGCAGACAGCTAGTACAGATCCCTATTGTGTTTCAGAAGACAATTCTATTCAGAGGTATAGACTAGGGAGGTGTGCTTGGCCATTCCAGTTCCTGCCATCTTTATTTTGTTTGAAGCTAAGGGTGGCCATTATAGTTAGCCTAGGAATGGAAATATTCTGGAGGATATGACCAGGCTTCTGAAAGAGGTTTTCTTCCAACCCCCTCATTTCTTCCTTAAACACAGATTCCTGGAGATACAGCAGTTGTGTTGTGACCATGAAGTAAAGAAGCAACAAGGGAAAGGCCAAGCAATTATAGAGAGGAAGTCCTTCCCTAGCTGTGCTGTTGGAGCAACATGGTGTTAACTGTTTGCAGAATTCAGGTTATCTGCAAACAAGCTTCACTTGTTTAAGCCACCATGACTTAGGTTTCCCTGAACATCCTAATACCTAGTCTGTGTAGTAATAGGGTACAAAAACAGAGGTGGTCCTTGTCCTTGGAAATTTAGAACTTGCTGTGTCCCAATCCTAGCACAGGTGGCACCCAGAGTCAGGGCCCTCCCTAGATACCAAAGGAATCAATTCCTGATACACCTGTCTGGCTTAGCCTGCTGGTGGCCAGATGTACTTTCTGGGCTCTAGAAGATGGTAATGGCAGGTAAACAAGGAGGCTGTTACTGTAGGTCAAGTGTAGATGCCCCTAGGTACAGCTTCAGGTATGGACCTGAGGAACCTGACTGTATAATCTCTCACTGCAGTTGCTGGTGGGCTAGAATAGTGGTATAGCCACTTAAGGAGTAGAAACCACGTTGGACCTCTTTGATTCAGAGGTTGGTGATGGGGTGCGGTACACTGTCCAGTTTCTTCTGAACTGTGTCCACAAAGCTGTACATTTTGGTCAGGTCCATCACCCACACAGCAGGATGAGTGCTCTTAGCCCCATGCTGTGGATAAAGCAGCCTGGGTGGATGTGCCCTACCCACAACCCTATTGCTAGCCTACCTCCACAGGTCATGACTACACCTTCATAGAATAGGAAGTGTTAGGAATGGAATATGCTGGAAAGTCAAACCTAAGAAAACAGAGCAGATAGTAACCTTTGTTTTCGAATAGTAATATACCTTATCTGGAGGCCCACATTCCATTAACACCTTCTCTCACCTATCAGTGTGTTCTTCCTCCACCCCATTCCTTAGCCCTCTCAAATAGCTGTGAGGATGGAGAGATTTCTCAGTGCTTAGAGCATCGGCTGCTCTTCCGGTTTGAATCCCAGCATCCACATAGCAGCTAACTACTGTCTATAACTCCAGTTCCAGGGTATCTGATGCACTCCTCTGGACTCCATGGGCCCCATGCATGAATATGGTGCAGACATATGCAGGCAAAACACCCATACAGATAAAATAAAAATAAATCTTAAAGCCAGGCTGTGGCGGTATACAACTTTAATCCCAACACTTGGGAGGTAGAGGCAGGCAGATCTCTGAGTTCGAGGCCAGCCTGGTCTACAAAGTGAGTTCCAGTACTGCTAGGGCCACTCAGAGAAACCCTGTCTTGAAAAACAAAACCTTAAAAACACAAGACTGGGTTTATACATTAAATACTTCCAGTTTGAACGTCCAGCTCCTGAAAATATGCACAATACCACATGACTTTCTTTCAAAATATCCTGTGTAGATCTCTATGCCCTAATAAACACCCAACCTTTCTTCCCTCTCCAGACATAACATCTCCTCTGGCCTGTGCATGCTGTGTTCCAGATTGCAATCCTATCCATAGTTTATTAACAAACAGAATTTCCCTTACTGAGATTTGCCTCCATAGTTTTGACTTTGACACAGCTTTATGGAGAGGTTCACAGGGAGAATTACCATGGTCTCCTGTCAGTACGCAGGAGGAGTTAAACTCTTGCTCATAGCCATCTGTGTGAGCAATATGGGATTATGCCTTGTAGGCTATTCCCAGATTTTTTTGGGGGAGGTGGGGGTTTGAGATAGAATTTCTCTGTGGCTTTGGAGCCTGTCCTGGAACTAGCTCTTGTAGACCAGGCTGGCCTCGAACTCACAGAGATCTGCCTGCCTCTGCCTCCCAAGTGCTGGGACTAAAGGCGTGTGCCTGCATGCCCCAGCTTATTCCCAGATTCTTTTGTGTGTGTGCATGCGTGGGTGCACATGTATGTAGATGTTCCTGCATCAGTCTGAGTTCCTAACTCAGGAGTTCTCTGTTCCTGTCTCTCCCCTCTCCCCTCTCCCTTCTTTCCCCTCCCCCCTCTCTCTGTGTGCACTCTCGTGTGTGCACGTGTGGAGATCCATGTACAGTACTTTCCTCTATCTCTATTTTTTGAGACAAAAGCATTGAGCCTGGAGCTCACTGAGCTACACTGGCTAGTCAGCAAATCCCTAGGATCTGTCTGTCTCCATGTCTCCTTGCCCAGAATTTCTGGGTTGTAGATGCAGGCTGCTGCTTCTGATTTTTCCATGAGTTCTGGGGGTCAAACTCAGGTCCTCATTCTTTCACTGTAAGCTCTTAACTGATTAAGCTATCTCCCCAGCCCACCCCCAAATTCTTGGCCATTGACGCTATTCAATCATAATAAATATTTAATGTGCTTTACTTACTTTCCTTTTGGATTTTTGAGACTGGGTCTCACTATATAACCTTGGCTGACCTGAAATTCACTATGTAAACTAGATTGGCCTTGAACTTGATGCAGACTCTTCCCTTTGCTTCCTAAGTGCCCAGAATTATAGGCATGTGCCACTATGCCCAGCCCATTTTAAGATGTCATTTTAGGGGCTAATTTGATACATAGCAATAGACAGCAAATATATTCACTAACATAGAATTATGCATCTTCAAAACAGGTGATTTATTTGGTTTGTAGTAGGCGTTTATGAATATTGTTAACTGTAAGAGGCACGACAGTAACAGAGGCTGATGGCTCAGAAGGTGCCTCCCACTTGTTTCTGAGTTGGTGTTATGCAAGCAAGATGATGCAGGCACGAAGCTGCTGTGGGCTTTGCTGGCTGGCATGGGTTAAATTGCCTGAGTTCCTGTGTTGATATCTTTGGCAAGCTTACAGCTAGTATGTTTGTCCCCAGAAAGCAGTGTGTGACTTGCAGGTGGTGTCAGATCTGGAGGCTCACTGAGTTTCCATGGAGATCTTCATCTTGTTAGGATGGACTGAGGTGAAGTTACCCTGTTTCTCCTGCTCCCATGTCTGCATTCTCATCCCATTACCACTCATGAGTGAAGTTGAGTTTGAGAACTGTTTTTTTGTTTTGTTTTGTTTTGTTTTGTTTTTCAAGACAAGGTTTCTCTGTATTGTTTTGGAGTCTGTCCTGGAACTCACCCTGTAGACCAGGCTGGCCTCCAACCCACAGAGATCTGCCTGCCCCTGCCTCCTGAGTGCTGGGATTAAAGGTATGCTCTACCAACGCCTGGCTTTGAAAACTGTTTTAATTATATCATCTATGAGTAGCTGTGAAGTCTTCTGATTACCAAGACTTTGCCTAATGTACAATGCATGGGAGTACCTAGAGGGCTACAACAAGAGTAACTGGCTAAAAGAAGGGGCTTCCTTCAGAATATTCAGAGACATGGGGTGAAGTGCTCCATTGGTCCTGAAGCTTTGCTGCTCCCTTGGGTCTGGGAACACACAGCAGAGGAAAGTACTGTCTGTAGAACACTTGGGGTTTCTAGAGAACATTACTAAGCCTTCAGCTGCTAGCAAAGCCTCCTTAATGGCCTGGCTTCCCTGACTTAGACCGGTCTAGAACCACCACTTTCAAGAACCCTTATACAGGAAACAAGTTATCCAATTCTTTTTAGAATTTGGTGCATGAAAAAGACTTCCCTGTCTTGAGCAATCCTCAGGTTTTCTTCAGTTGGATCAGAAGAACTGTTGCCCATGTGTTCCTCTGTCTTGCTGCCAGGAGGCTCCAGTGCAGTTTCTGTGCTTAATTGGCATCAGTTTCCCTCAGGTTGGGTGTTGGGTATCAGTGATCTTCCTGTTAAAGGATTCTGGCTCATCTACTTCTGTTTGCCTGTGCTTGGCCCTGCTGTTGAAGCATCTAGTCTCCTTTGGATAGGGTGATGATAGAAATGTAGGCTCCTCCACACTGTAGTTCCGTCCAAGGAGCTGCAGAAACTGGGTCCCATCATGTTCACCATGGAAGAAGTCCACACAGGGAGTCATGGCCTCCATCTCCACCTCCTAAGTCTGGAACCAAGGGAAACCACTAGTGTGTGGGGTCCAGGTTGCCTGAACAAGACACTAGGAAGGCCAGTTAGTTTGGGCAAGGTTGTAGCTCCTGCTACTCTCCAAATCATGGAATGCCATTGCCCTTCCCTTTGAGTAGTTTAGGGCTGGAGAGCAAGGATTAAAGTTCATATGTTACATGTGTGATATGGACGCATGCATGAGTGTGAGAGGAGAAGGGAAGGGATATACAAAGAAGTAGAGCCTGTGGCTCAAGCCCAGGGCCGGGAGATCCACGAATGCCAGCCATCAGTTGTGAGGCCTCTTGGTACTCTTTCCAGAAGCTGACCTGCATATATAAGTCTGAGACTGGGGTTGGCCAGAATCTGGTCTGACTCTCGGTGGCTGAGACCCAACAAGGTGCCGGGAGGTAGGCTGTGAGGCCCTGCCATTAGTACTGGAGCTGCCAGGGCCCTTCACTTTCTTGTCCAGGGTCTGGATTTGGCTGGGAGAATAAGATGTGGGCTCTGGAAAAACAAAGACAAGAATGAAGGTGTGAAAGAAGACTTTGTTCATACCCAGTTGAAGTTGTCTGGAGCTGCCCTGCCATGTGTGTAGCTCCTAGTCCCGTTTGGTGTTAGGAGAGCCGTCAGACTGCCCCGGGGGGTTTAATCTGCACTTGGATAGGAAGAGATTTGTCTGTTGACTGGGGAACTAGACTTTGAATTCTGGTCCTAGGCTATCGGTTTTTGCTTGTTTGTTTTTTAGATTTATTTAAAATTTTTATATTTGTGTGTCTTTATTTATATGTATTTGACTCTGGAGGAGAGGAAAAGTCATTGGATCCCCTGGAGCTGGAGTCACAGGAGTTGTGAGCCACCCAATGTGTGTGCTGGGTGCACTTGTGGCCTCTGAAGAGCAGTAAGCACTCTTAACTGCTGAGCTATTTCTCCAGCCTCAAAGGTAGTTACAGCTTTTGCCCTAGGTTTTCCATGGTAAAAACTGGTGCAAGAGTGACAGGAGCCTCTCACGGTGAAGGCCAGGTCAAATCTGATGAGGGAAGGGAAGAGGCTACATTAACCCTTAGAATACAGCCTCAGTTCCAGCTCTTTCCATTACTCAACTTCTCCACTCCTCCTAATTCCAAGATAGAGACATGCTCCACACCCAGTTTCTCCTCCTCCTCCTCCTCCTCCTCCTCCTCCTCCTCCTCTTTTTTGGATAGGATTTCTTTGTGTAGCAGTTCCCGTTCTTATAGAACACATAAATAGACAATGTTCCTCTTGTGGATTTACATGTACCACTATCAACTATGTCTTCTAGGCTTTTCTTCTTTCAGAAATTTGATACAGGCATAGCCATAGGATGGAAGGAGTCATGCTTTCCTTTTGAAGCAGACAAGCATAGGGAATAGTGTAGTATCCTGGGTCCTATTTAATTTTGAATTGTGCATGCCACAACCCCTCTTGTTATAATGCATTTTTCAGGTTAGCTCCGTTACCTTCATGTACTGTTAACGAGGCATTTTTGAACAGTGCACTTAGCAAAATCGGAACCCCCTGAGACACCTACCTGCACACGCACTCCCCTCTCTGAACAATAGTATACATTTTCCTGCCCTTAACAACCATTACATTTAGACATTTTCTGTTCAAGTGTATTCCCAATCTATCTGAGTATGGTGACTAGAAGAGCTAATCCATTCTGAACTTGTTTTGGACATATGCACAGTAAGGCAAATATTTGTAGTAGAAAAAGTGAACATGTGAATTAATCTATGAATAAAATAGAGAATGCATCAAAACTATGCCTCTTAATAACCAGTTCCTCCTTTCCCACAAAAGAGACTCCTGGCTGTATGCTGGGGCTATAGACTATCTTCACTCATGTGGCCTGGTATCAATCTTTTTTATTGTTATTATCACTATTATTATTATTTTGGTTTCTTGAGACAGGGTTTCTCTGTGTAACAGCCTTGGTTGAGTTGAAACTCACTCAGTGAACCAGACTGGCCTTGAACTCACAGAGATCCTCCTGCCTCTGCCTCCAGAGTATTGCTGGGATTAAAGGCATGGGCCACCACACCGATGTTAATCTTTATTTACAGTGTATCCCTTTCTAATCTGTACTGTTGCTTTGCTCCCAATAAAACTCTTTTTAAAAAAATAATTGATTTATTTTAATCTTATGTGCATTGATGTTTTGCCTGCATGTATGCATGTCTGTGTGAGCATGCCAGATCCCCTGGAACCAGAGTTATTACAGATAGTTGTGAACTGCCATGTGGGTGCTGGGAACTGAACTCAGGTCCTCTGGAAGAGCAGTCAGTGCTCTTAACTGCTGAGCCATCTCTCCAGACCCGGAAGCTCTCTTATTACTTCGGTAAATCTGTGTGAGCCCTTATTTTCAGTTCTTTGGCTAACAGGCCCAGAACCTACAAACGCCCAGCCTTAGCCCCTGACCACTCATAACTCTCCTGTACTTGTGGCCACTAATGAGAAATCCCATTTGGATTTTGCATTGAGTGAGATGTAATAAGATATTTGGACCTGTTTGTTATATCAATTCCCATTATTCTGGTTAATCCTCAAAAAATAATGGTGAAGAATATGTGAGATGCAACTGCTAATAAATTGGAACACACAAAAATTCTAACCCTTAAATTATTAGTCATTTATTGTGCACCTTGTACAGTTTTCTCATCCAAGGTCAACACTGCACAGTGGTACCCTTTAAAGCAGGTGCTCCTGAGACAATGAGACAGCCAAAGACATGGTCTTTTCATCTCGCCCTTTCCTTTCCCCACGTTGGAGCCTGGTCTAGCTATGATCACTCTTTAGAGACTTGAGACCCTTCTGTGAGAAACTTCTTACCTGTTCCTACCAGCTTATTCTACCCAGTGTGTCTCTTTAAAATTATTATTATTATTAGTGTATATGAGTGTTTTCTCTGCGTGTATATTTATGTGCCATGTGTGTGCTATGCCCAAGGATGCCAGAGGATAGTACTGGACTGTGAGCTGCCATGTGGATGCTGGGACTAGAACCTGACCCCATGGAAGAGCAGACAGTGCTCTTAACCTCTGAGCTATTTCTCCAGCTCTAACATGTCTTTTTTTTTTTTTTAAAGAAACTATAAACTACTATCTGTAGCAAGTATTTGCTAGTTTATTCTGTGTGCCAGGAGTTCCATTAAGCCCTGTACATGTTTGGCTTTCATCATCACCATCCCATGAGGTAGGCACTTCATACTGCTAAATAATTACCAGTGACCCTATCTTAAACCCAGATCAGTCCAATTCTACATGTATGTTCTTTACAACTTCCATGTGGACTTGGAAAAAGTCATCATAGTGGAAAAAAATTTACCTTCCTTAGTGAGTTGTAGCTGGGTGGCATTTTTGGAGCTGTTCTTAAGTGTGTCCTCAGAATTAGTGATTATAGCTCTTCCTTTGATGGATTTGTGGTTCTTCTCAACTTCACGGAGCTGTAGAGAAAAAATGAATTATTTATGCAGGCTAGGGGCATGGGTGTCCTATGCTTAGAGCCTTGGATCGTGAGAGGTAGGTGGGGCCTGTGTATAGTTCTTGCTGACTACCTTCACTGCCTGTTACTGGTTCTACAACTGACTGGAGAGTGTATTTGTGTGGCTCAGTTTCATAAAGCACTTGAAGGAACATCTAGCCTTTATTTCAGTGTTCTGTATCTGAGCAGGAGCCAGTGAGGCTAACAGAAGGAAGCCTGGGTGGGGAATTGACAGCAAGATATGTTAATTTCAGAAGTATAATGGGAAGTGAGGATGACAGAATTTAGAGATGTGTGTGTGTGAGTGTGTGTGTGTGTGTGTGTGAGAGAGAGAGAGAGAGAGAGAGAGAGAGAGAGAGAGAGAGAGAGAGAGAGACAGACAGACAGACAGACAGACAGACAGACAGATAGACAGATAAACACACACACAGAGAGTCTGTCTGTCTGTCTGTCTGTCTGTCTGTCTGTCTGCCTGCCTGCCTGCCTGCCTGCCTGTCTTCCTAGAGAGAACAGTCAGGGTATCAGCTGGGATATTGAGAGAAGCTGCCTGTGTATAGAAACTGAGGAGGAGACATCCTAGGCTGAGGATCAGCAAAGTGTTGTTTGGCCATTTCTTTTAGTATTTATACTATTAAGATAGCTAGTTTTTTTCCTTTCCTTTCCTTTCCTTTTCTTTTCTTTTCTTTTCTTTTCTTTTCTTTTCTTTTCTTTTCTTTTCTTTTCTTTTCTTTTCTTTTCTTTTCTTTTCTTTTCTTTTCTTTTCTTTTCTTTTCTTTTCTTTTCTTTTCTTTTCTTTTCAGGGTTTCTCTGTGTAGTCCTGTCTGTCCTGGAACTCACTCTGTAGACCAGGCTGGCCTCAAACTCACAGAGATCTGCAAGTCTCCCAAGTGCTGGGATTAAAGGTGTGTGCCACCATTGCCCGGCGATGGCTAGGTTTGTTTGTTTGTTTTTGTGTGTAGTGTGTGTGTACGCATGTGTACGTGTGTATGCTTGTGTGCAAATGTGCGAGTGTTAGTGACTGACTCCAGAGCCTTGTGACTGTTAAGCACTTTCCTCTACCACTAAGCTGTACCATCAGCCTCTCGAACATTCCTACTGTATATGCACAGCTGTTGAACACTATAGGGCTGCTTCCTATAGGGCAGGGTTTTGGATTTGTCTTAAGAGAAAACCATTGAAAGAACAAAACTGAGATCACAGAGCCAATCAGCAAGAAACAAGAACATCAATAAGGTTGTAGCTCCCGAGAGACTCACCGCTTGGATTTTCTTTCGAAGCTGGGCATTAGCTCTGGAGAGACTTTTTGAAACCGAGTTCAGGTAGTAGATGGCCAGACTAAAAGAGAAAAAGCATATCTCTTATTGTCCTGGGTTATTAGAAAATGACAAGAGCCCGGTGTTTTTCCTAGGGTCTCTGGATTACCAAAGCTTTGCCTCTAGCAGGATAGAGCTGGTCCTACCATCCTAGGTTGTCTGCTCAACATGGAGACGGTTCTGCATAACCTCTCCATTGTATTGAGTGTGGGCATGACCTGCACATGTCTAGCTCTCAGAGTAGTAAAGGTTGGTAGAAAGAATCACCCTGATTCCAAAGAGGTAGGGCATAGCATGGTTTCTTGTCTGCAAACGAAAGCTAGGAATGTTTACTAGATAGTTGCCTGATAGGAGGCTTTGTGTCATGTATAGTCATGCCCATCTCATTGGTTTTGATGAAAGCTTGATGAAGTAGTGTAGGGCAGCTAGACAGGCACTAGACATCTTAGAGGCCACTGAGAATGAATACCTCCCTCAAGGTCAGCTTTGGTCCATTAAGTGAAAGCCACACCCCCCTGGTCAAAAGAATGGCATCTGAGTTCTACTTCTGGCCCTGAGTAGAGACGTGACATTCTTTTTTTTTTTTTTTTCAGAAAACAGAAATATTTAATCTGTTTCCACACATTAGAACTTCCTTTGTCATTAGAGCATGGTTTGTCAAGTGTGCACTCATGATTCATTCCTGTGTTCACTATACTGGTACTGCAGTGAGGGGTGGAAGCAGATCACTGAGGGAGAAAAAGACACCAAAAAGCCACATCTCAGAATAAACAGTCATCTGGAAATCCAGCTTTTAAGCCTATTTTGAGATTTATTCAAAGTTATTCTTTATTATTTATTTATTATGTATACATTTATCTGCAGGCATGCTTGCACACTAGAAGAGGGCACCAGATCTCATTACAGATGGTTGTGAGCCACCATGTGGTTGCTGGGAATTGAACTCAGGTCCTCTGGAAGAGCAGTCAGTGCTCTTAACCTCTGAGCCATCTCTCCAGCCCCCCAAATTATTCTTTATGGTAATTTTGTTGATGGTGCTAGGGATGGAACCTTGGACAACCGACTCAAGTGCTGAGGTCCATCCATCCTCTGCCCACCATAATATTTCTTCCAGGGTAGAGAAGTACTGACAGAGTGCAGCCAGTAAAAGAATCTCTCTCTCCCATCGTCACTGCAAGAGCTCAATGTGCAGTTAAGCTACCTGCCTGCTTGCAGAAGCCCATTATATGTGCCCCTTTCTCCTGATACCTGGGCTACCAAAGTCTGAATTCCCTGGACCTCAAAATTCCAACTATCATAGCCAGTGCCAGGAGTCAAGCCTGCAGATAGAAGCAGAGACACCTCTGCCAGTGCTAGGTTTCCTCCTCAATAATAATAATAATAATAATAATAATAATAATAATAATAATAATAATAATAACTAATCATAATAATAAAAATAAAAAATCCTGGTTCTATCATTATGGAAAAGAAAGACTGTTAGATCATCCCTTCCTTTCCTAGTTCCTGTCACCACCTCCCTGGAGGGGTAGCCACAGGAGACACTGTCTACAGCTGCTATAGAGGAGTTCTGCAACTGTTCAGTAACCCTACTGGGAAGAGGGAGAGGCAAAAGCAAGGTGCCTGCATAGAGCCAGGAGGCCTCAAGCCTGAGCATATGGCTCTCAACTGGAGTCTTGTGCACCAGGGCTGTGTTAGGTGAGTGTGGGGAAGGGGAGGGCTCTTTTGCAATCACTGATTTGGTTTTAGCAAGTCCTGGACTGTGGCCAGTCTTCCAGCCCCACCAAGTCTGCCACCTGAATTAAGAAATTAATGTTCTTGATTCTCTTGTGTGATTCCTGTCACCAGGAGGAGGTTGCAGGCCATGAACTGTACACTCAGGACATTGCTCATCTGTCCAGTGTACACGCCCACGAGCTCACCCGAAGAGCCCTCAGCAGGTGTGTTGCAGCACGTGCTGCTGATGTCCCAGACACGCACACAGTTGTCCATGGAGGCAGAGGCAACCAGACCGCTGTCTGGGGTAAAGGCTAGACTGGTGATACTGTCCATGTGGCCTCTCAGTTCTTTAAAAGGCGTCCCAGGGGCCAAGTCCCACAACTTTAACTGCTGGTCCTCACCAGTGGATGTCAAGTATCCACCGTTGGGAGAAAAGGAAAGGGAAAGCACGGGACCTCGGTGACCCGTGAATAGCCGCACTGAGTTTCTCTATTGGGCACTCCACAGCCGGACCGTTTTGTCAGTGGAACCTGTAGCCAAGTAGTTTGAATTGGGGTGGAATTTGACACAGTCTATGTCAGCCAGGTGTCCTGCATATATCCTCAGCAGGTAGTCCAATCAAAAGACCACAGCCTGGCAATATAGTCATGGGACCCACTGGCAAAATACAGGCTGTAGGGGCTGATGTCCACATCCCATACAGGGTAGGCACGTCCCTGATACAGCACAGTGTTAGTGAAGCTCCCTGGGTCCCAGTACCTGATGGACATATCTGCAGAACAAGAGAGCAGCCCCGAGCTGTCTGCGAGGAACCTTGTGCTGTACACTGGGCCACAGTATCCTCACACGATCTTCATCTCTGTGCCTGTATTATCCTCTTCATTCTCCTCCTCCTCCAGAGTGTCACAAGCTAGAGGGATACTGGATGTGCCCACATGGTGGGGCTCTGGTTTCAGCTTTTTGGACCGCAAGCTCCAGAGCTTTATGCAGGAGTTATCAAACCCAGCAGCCAGAAGTTTGCTATCAAAGGAGGTCTCTGCAGTATTCAGCAGCTGCTCTGTGTTATAGAAGGCATAGAAGCAGATGGTGTGAGGGAGGGAGGTCCATCCTTGGACTGCTTGATACTCTCCTGCAAGACTTCCAGGGCAGCCTCATTCTGCAGAATAGGGGTGGGCACATCTGGTGGCCCCAGGCCACTGCTCTCACTGCGGGAGGAGCTGCCACTGGCATACAGCTGGTAGTGTGTCCTCTTGGCAGGCTGCACGTCCAGGTGTAAGTGCACGGCAAGCACCTTGCACAGGGCAGTGTTGTTATCGCTTTGGAGGTAGCGGATAAGGTAGTTGTAGCTATCCTCCTGGAGACTGACCACATACATATTTGTTGTCCAGGAATGCATGAAGCTGGAAGTTTGACAGAATGTCCTGGATGATCTATGTGGTTTGCAGCTGCTCAATGATGTCCTTCTGACTCGAATTCTGTAGGAACATTCCAGGGAAGCGGCTATAGAAGCTTACCACTGTGCTCTTGGGGCTACTCTGGACCAGGTTGAAGTGGAGGTAGACAAAGGAAGAGAGGCATAACTTCATGGCTATGCTGGGAGTCAGAATCAGAAAGAAAGCTTCTCAGTCGTCCAAACTGTACTTCATCTTGCTGGGGTTCTGCCTGGCAAGGGGCTGCAGACACCGCACTGGCACAACCAGATTCTGATTGGACTGTGAGGTTGGCTGCCATCTCCTCAGGGGTCTGTGATAGTCTCAGGCCTTGCTCCAAGGGGCCTTCTGAGTCCACATACTGCCGGCGTTTGAGGTAGCAGGACACTGCCTCCCGAACCTGCTCCTTGCGCGCTCATTTCATGACTGAACATCGCAGGCGGTTCCTGCTGCCCCGCGCACCTGCTAGCCAGGTCCCTGCGGGCTAGGCCGAGCGATGCTGCGGCCAGGGCGTGCTCTGAGACGTGACATTCTAATCTGCCCCAAAGATGAAAGCATCATAATTTATTGTCTTTTTCCTTAAAAGTCTTTTTTTTTTTAAGATTTATTCATTTTATTATGTATAGTGTTCTGACTGCATGTATGCCTGCAGGCCAGAAAAGGGCACCAGATCTCTCTGTGGATGGTTGTGAGCCACCATGTAGTTGCTGGGAATTGAACCTAGGACCTCTGGAAGAGCAGTGTTCTTTTTTTTTTTTTTTTTTTTTTTTTTTTTTTTTTTTTTTT